ATTAAAAAAACCAAGGCAAAAAATTCAATATAATAAAGAATTTAAAGGGTTGTTTCTCAGTAATAATGTTACTTAAGGTCATTTAAGAATCTTTTTCATTGTATAGTTTTCATTTTAAAAATGAATAATACAAAACAAACAAACAAACTCATTGTTATTGAATTGTTTCCAACTCATAGCGACCCTGAGTGGGGTTGCCGAGAGCTGCAAATCTTTATGGGAGCAGAAAACTTCATCTTTCTTCCATGGGGAAGCTGGTGGGTTTGAACTACCAATTTAGTAGTTAGCAGTCCAGGGCGTATCCATTGTTTTTTATTTTAAAAAAGTTTTTATTTCTCCCTATAACTACTAAATAATCATAAATAAATAATCTAAAATTAGCAGAAAGGAATCTGCATATTTTATATTCCTTGTTTTATGAAAATATTATACAATTCTATGTTCTGGTGTAGCACTGTAGGATAAATATTGGACTGCTAATCACAAGGCTGGCAGTTCAAACCTATCAGCTGCTTTTCAAAAACCCTATACAAGATCACTATGAATTGGAACCAACTCCATGACGCTTAACTTATATGCCATATATGGTAAAATAGTAATGTAAATGATACATTAAATGGATGGAATGTTTGGATGCCATAAAAAAAAAAGACCATTATAAAAACCAAGCAGCATATGGAAAAAAAACTATCTTTGTAACAGGAGTCCTTGGGGGGTGCAAACAGTTAAGAGTGTGGTTGCTAACCAAAAGGTTGGAGGTTAGAATCCACCCACAGGCATCTTGGAAGAAAGGTCTGGTGATCTACTTCCAAAAAATCAACCATTAAAATTCCTACAGAACACATTTCTACTGTGACACACAAGTAGGCTTAATAGCAACTCATGAGGGGCAAATGATGGTCCAGTGGTAGAATTCTAGCCTTCATTGCAGAGACTCAGGTTCAATTCCTGGCTAGTGTACCTCATGTACGGCCATTGCAAGTCTGTCAGTGGAGTTGCCATGTAGTGAACAGGTTTCAGTGGAGTTTCCAGTCTAAGATGGACTATGAAGAAATGCCTAGCTAGCTATCTTCTTCCAAATAAACCTGTCATAGAAAACTCCATGGAGGACAGTTCTACTTTAGTACACATATAGCCAAGAGATGCGGTTAATTTCGTGGCAACCATTTTGATACATTTTTAAAATTTCTATATCTTGAATTTAGAGATCATCTGAAGAACAGATTTGATATGTTAGACACTAAAGACTGAAGACCAGAAGAGTTGTGGGATGACATCAAAAACATCACACAGGAAGAAAGCAAAAAGTCATTATGAAGACAAGAAAGAAGGAAAAGATCAAAATGGATGTCAGAAGAGACACTGAAACTTGCTTTCCAGCATAGAGATGCTAAAGCAAATGAAAGAAATGAGGAGGTACAAGAGCTGAACAGAAAATTTCATAGGTCAGCTTGAGAACACAAAGTCAAATATTACAACAAAATGTGCAAAGATCTGGAGTCAAAAAACCAAAAGGAAGAAAATGCTGAGTATTTCTCAAGCTGGGGGAACTGAAGAAAAAATTCAAGCCTTGAATTTGTTATTGAAGGATTCTCTGGGCAAATTATTGAATGATGCAGAAAGCAGAATGATGCAGAAGTTGGAAGGAATACACAGTCACTGTACCAAAAGGAAATGGTTGATGTTCAACCATTTCAAGAGGTAGCATATTATCAAGAGCCAACGATCCTGAAGGAAGAAGTCCAAGGTGCATTGAAGGAATTGGCAAAGAACAAGGCATCAGGAATTGATGGAATAAACATTGAAATCTTTCAAGAAACTGAGGCGGCACTGGAGGCACTCACTCGTCTCTGCCAAGAAATTTGGAAGACAACTATCTGGCCAACTGATTGGAAGAGATCCGTATTTGTGTCCTTTCCAAAGAGAGTTGACTCATTGGAATGTGAAAATCATTGGGCAGTATCTTTGATATCCCATGCGAATAAAGTTTTACTCAAGGTAATACAGAAATGGTTGCAAGCATACACTGGCAGAAAACTTCCAGAGGTTCAAGCTGGATTGAGAAGAGGACATGGAATGAGGACTATAATTGTTGATGTCCAATGGATCTTGGCTGAAAGCAGAGAATATCAGAAAGACGTTTACATGTGCTTTATTGACTATGCAAAGGCTTTCGATTGTGTGGATCATGACAATCTGTGGACAACATTGCCAAGTATGACTATTCCTGAACACTTAATTGTGCTCATGAGGAATCTGTACATGGACCAAGAGTTATTTGTTTGAACAGAACATGGGAACACTGAATCGTTTAAAATTAAGAAAGGTGTGTGACAGGGTTGTATTCTTTCACCATACTTATTCAACCTGTATGCTGAGCAAATAATATGAGAAGCTGGGTTATATGAAGAAAAATGTGGCATCAGGATTGGAGGAAAACTCATTAACAACCTGTGATATGCAGATGATACAACCTTGCTTGCTGGAAGTGAAGAGGACTTAAAATATTTACTGATGAAGATCAAAGAACACAGACTTCGGTATGGATTGCATGTCAATGTAAAGAAAACAAAATTCCTCACCACTGGACCAATAAACAACATTCTTAACAGTGGAGAAAAGATTGAAGTTGTCAATGACTTCATTCTTCTTGGATCAACTATCAACACTCATGGAAGCAGCAGTCAAGAAATCAAATGACATATTACATTAAGCAGATCTGCTGCACAAGACTGTTTTAAAGTGTTGAAGAGCAAGATGTCAGCTTGAGGACTAAGGTGCACCTGACCCAAGCCATGGTATTTTCAACGACCTTATATGCATGTGAAAGCTGGACAGTGAATACGGAAGACCATAGAAGAATTGATGCTTTTGAGTTATGGTGTTGGAGGAGAATATTGAAAGTACCATGGACTGCCAAAATAACCAACAGATCTATGTTGGAAGAAGTACAGCCAGAGTGCTCCTTGGAGGCCAGGATGGCCAAACTTTGTCTCTCATACTTCGGACATATTGTCAGAAGCAACCAGTCTCTGGAGAAGGATATCATGTTTGGTAAGGTGGAGGGTCAGAGAAAAAGAGGAAGATCCCCAAAGAGATGGATTGGCCACGTGGCAGCATCAATGGGCTCAAGCGTGGCCACAATTGTGAGGTTGGCCCAGGACTGGAAAGTGTTTTGTTCTGTTGTACATAGGGTCACTGTGAGTTGGTACTAACTCGATGACACCTAACAATAACAACAATGGAGTCAGTTCTGACTCAGGGTATCCAAGGCTATAAATCTTTACAGGAGCAGAAAGCCTCATCTTTCTCTCATGGAATGGCTGGTAGTTTTGAACTTCTGACCTTGAGTTAGCAGCCTGACTCATAACCACTATGCTAAGCATAAATCCATAGGCAAGAATATGGAATCATATGTGGGACAAGAATAGGAAAAAATGCATACAAATAAAAACCAGGTATGTTTTGGGGTCAGGAAGTTACAGGGTGGTATTTTTGTTTTGTTTTTTACTTTTTTCTTTCCTTTCTTCTTCCTTTTTTTCATTTACATTGTGTTTTGAGTGATTTTAATTATTCTTACTAGAAACTTCTTTTTCTACCTCCTGCCTTCTCAATCCTACATCAATTGTCTACATGGTTTAGAAAGAACTAGATTAGGGTAGCCACCATCCCATGGTTTCTGGGACCTCATCCAGAACCCCACAGTATGCTTGTTCACAGCCCCAAAGAAGCATCTCCTGGCTACCCCCAAGCCTAACTTCTGAGTCCACACTCCCATGACTCATTTAGACAAGTCCTGATAGATTCTTGCCAAAAACATTCTACCTAGACAAACATTGTGGAATCTACCGCTTCCCTACGTGTTTGGGACTTATTTGTACAACCAGTTTTCCTTTGTTTTGTTGCTAACAACAATGTTATCACCTGAAATTGGATTTTCATCCTGTATCTAATCTCTTCAGTGATGCCCAGCTGATTTTACGTTTTCAGGAAAGGTTGGAGGACCACCAGTTCTCAGTATTTCCTGAAAAACTCAGCGAATTTCCTGGCCAGGACCTAGCAATTCTGCCAATTACTGTTGCATTTCCATCTAGCATCAAATACTTGAGTGATAACCAGCTTAGGTTTTCAGGAAGGATCGGGACCATGGGTTCTCAGTATTTCCTGGAGGTCTCAAAATGTTCTGGCCAGGATCTGACTTCTGGCTGACGGGACAGTTGTGCAGTCACATTCTCTGAAGACTTTAAACCCGAGAATAAAACCCCTGTCTACAGGTCATTGATGTTCACCAGCAGGTCAGCAAACAACGGGACAAAATGACCCCCTCTCAAATGTCCCTTCTCTCTGAGCTTCTTAACGTCCAAGAACGAGGGTATGCTCTAGTTTGTGGGTATATCAGCACTTGAGAATGTTGTTACACAAGTGACACTTGGTCACATTCATCATCTGTATAGGAGAGGATACGCAGATCATTGAGTCCCACCCAGATCTACCTACCGGGAGCAACAGGACTTATTTTCAAATCATCAAGGCCAAACAGCGATCGAAAGGAGAAGGGGGTTTCAGTTGCAGGTGGTTCGTTCTCCCCCATGGTGACTATTTCAGGGTTTCTGAGATCTGGCTCCACCTCCACCTCCTGAGTTAAGAAGGACAGAAATCATTTTCTCTCCTATTTACAGTTTTAGCGTCAAATGCATCTTCCTCATATTTTCAGTCTTAGACATTTGACAATCCACATAAAGTGAATTCAGTATTGACTGATCTAGTGAGAAGATTTGTCTAGTGAGAAGCCATTGTTTTTTTCCTGAACCACAGCAGATAAGACAGAATCTATTAGACTTAGTGAAAATTAGCAAAGGACTTAATTCCATTCAAATAACAACTTTTCCATTGCCAGTTGTACCAATCAATATAATTTAACAGTATACTTTCAGTGATGTGCCCTTTCACCATTTAGAAGTTATTGTGTAATTATTTTCAAGGCACTTTCCACCACTTTTGTGAATGTTCTTCATCTGTTCCACATAAACTCAATTCTTTGCCTACACGTGTATCTTGCACACCTACCATAAACATCATAAGTTCTGATACTCACATAATGTTCGCTCCTCCAAAATGTCGACAGCACCAGGGAAGTTTCACTTGACCACAGCAATAGCCATTTGCTGGAAACACAACCCTTTTCCTGGCTCACACAAGCATGACCTAATTAAGAATTGAAGTATCTCGGCCCTTTGGGTGCCCAGTCTCCTCCTTAAGTAGCAATGTGAGGAGCGGCCAGGGACTGCTGGCTTCCAGCACACAAACAGTGGGGCTCTGTTTCCTAAGAAAGAATTCCACCTAACAGACCGCACAAGGGGGCCAGCAGCCCTTCACAATCACTCCCTATAACTCCAAGAGGGACTGACAGGAAATGCATGCTTTCCCAATGAATCCCAAGCTGTTCTCCCAGGTATGTGCTGAAGGTTCTCTAGGAGCTTCCTTGGAGTGTTAAAACCAACTAGGGCTCCAATATGCAGATTGATACAAAACACTTAAAGCATTCATTTATTTCCTTTCTAGTTACTTGTTGAAATGTTTGAAATGCTAACGTGTTCAACTAAGGCTTTAAAAACAAACTTTGTCTCTTTGCTGTTTCCCCACAGCCATAGTAAAATCCAAGTGAGAGTTGTATGCCTAATAAAGTGTTTATTCCATTTCCATCACAAAAGTAGCTTTAAAGAATATCTTAGAAAACTAATAAATTCACATTCAATCGTTTGGGGCTTTGGTTCTTTCTGACACTTGTTCCTTACTAGCCAACTATAGCAAATTACACAGTTTAACTTTATATAAAAGAACAAAAACAAATGGTAAAATGCTTTCTGAAGAATCTCACGTGAGTAAGAAAGTCCCCTTCCTTGGTAGGTAGCACACCACCACAAAAGTTATTTTTAGAAACAGATTCTCTCCCCACATCTCTTTGACTCACCATTTCTGGAGCCGCCATCATTAAAAGCAGAAATGATTTCCTTTTTCATTATAAAAGTAAATGTGATGGTAAGCAGGCTGCCAACAAGTTCATCCAATAGGGGAATATTTTCACCAAGTCACTCAGCCTTGTCAGCCCCATCATTGTAACAAATGGCATTATTGCGGGAGTTGGTGTAATCCAAGCTGCTTGTGGCTATCAAGTAGCCCTGAGTGGTAGGACTACAGAGACCAGGGAGGGGGAAAAATGCAGCTTCCCTTTAATTAGTAAGTAAAGTAAAGAAACCTTTTCAGAAACATCACATAAGAGAATCAGGACACAGGCTCTGCTTTTATTTAAAAGGACAGGGACAGCCGAGGCTGTGAGCATACAGCCAGCAAGAGAGGCAAGGGGGTCTACTTGGTGGCGGTTTCAATTTCTCTACCTGACAGAATTCCCAGACAAAAGACAGGGAACCTAAGTCTATTCATCACAGCACTTCATATCCCATTCCGCAGGGACCTCTGTGGTTCTGAACCACATCTGCCCACAGATCCATTTAAAGATGCTTTACTGGGAGAGGACAAATCCTGGAGGCTGTGTGAAAGGGGATAAATATGTCTTTGGAAGGTCCAGCTGTGAATACTTGGAATAGAACTAGAGGGTGAATCATACTGCTGGCTGTTGATTGTCTTGGGAGTTGGCTCTGACCATGAGACCTTATGTATACCAGGTATATATAAAGCATTGCCCAGTCCCTCACCCTCTCCAGGAGCATTGGGATGTTTGAGTCCATTGTTGAGGCTACTGTGGGCATCAGTTCAAGGAACTCTGGTAGCATAGTGATTACGAATCAGGCTGCTAACCTCAATGTCGGCAGTTCAAAACTACCAGCTGATCCATGGGAGAAAGATGAGGCTTTCTGCTTCCGTAAAGAGTTACAGCCTCGGAAACCCTGTACAGGGTTACTATGAGTCGGAACTGACTTCATGGTACTTAACAACAACTACATTACTAGTTGTTCTGATGTGGTGCTGTGGAATAAAGCACTGGACCTCAAGGTTGGTTTGAACTGCGAAGTCGGAGGTTCAAGCCACTCCTTGGAAATCCTATACAGGGTTGCTGTAAGTCTGAACTGACTTGAAGGCACTCAACAACAACAACCACTTTTCTAAGCATGATGTCCTTTTCTAGCAACTGGTCTTTCCCCATGATGTGTCCAACGTAAGTCTTGCCCTACTCTATGCTCTAAGGAGCATTCCAGTTGTATTTCTTCTAGAACTGATTTCTTCACTCTTTCAGCGGTTCATGGTATATCAGCTACCCTTCACCAATACCACGGTTCAAAGGCATCAATTCTTCTGTCTTCCTTTTTCATGGTCCAGGTTTCACATGCACAGCGGTTATCAAAGTGACATCTCTGTTTTTTAAAACTTAAAAAAAAAAAAGTCTCTTGCAGCAGATTTGCCCAATGCAATCTGCTTGATTTCTTGGTTGCTGCTTCTGTTGGTGTTGATTATAAGTCCAAGTAAACGGAACTCCTTGGCAGCTTCAATTTCCTCGTCCCTATCATGATGTTATTGGTCCAGTTGTGAGGACCTTTTTAAATTTTTTTAAGTATTCATAATTACATGGAGTAGGAGTCCTGAGGTGGCACTATAGGATAAAGTATGAAACCTCGAGGTCAGTTTGAATTGCAAGGTCAGTGGTTCAAATCTACCAGCCACTCTTTGGAAATCCTATAATTGGTCGCTATGAGTAGGAACTGACTAGATGGCACTTAACCACAGCAACAACATCTACATGGTGTAGAACCAGCTGGTGAATTATGCATGCATATTTTCATTGAGTATTTCTTGAGTATCTTCCATGCCAGGCATCTAGATGCAGAGACGATACAGCAACGTTTCAACACTCACAAGTGACCTCAGATAATTACAAATGCTAGTGTGGCTCTGTAGAATAAAGCACTGGACTGCTAACCACAAGGTCAGCTACTCAGACCTCCCAGTCCCTCCTCAGAAACCCTATATAGTGTGACTGATCCTTCTCACAGCCCTGAAAACAACATGAAGAGATTAGGCTGAGGGAGGAGAGGAGCCATGAGGCTGGGGAGATGAATGAAAGCCTCTAGGAGAAGGTGACATTTTAGCTGAGATTTCAAGTACAGGATAAAGTAGGTGTTGAGAAGACAGGGTGACTTCATTCTAGCCAGAGGGACACTCAAGATGCAGAGAAAAGAAGGAGCTGAGGGTGTTTGAGAACCTAAGGAGGCTTGTATACCTGCAGAGAGGGGAGAGAACTTGGGAGCCAAGTTAGAAAGCCACATGCAGTAGATGGTGGTAGGCGGGGGCCACTGTGGTTTCGGTGTGATCGAAGTCATGGAGGATCTTAACAGGTTCATGGGGTTCCAGAGGGTCAGGGCCAATGGGTGGGCTCAGATGATGGAGGGGAGGAAATTTGGACCAGGGCATTAGTGGTATAGATAGTGGGAATCAAATAGATGTGGGATTGATTTTGATGTTGAGTTGGCAGGATTTGCCAATGACAATAGCCAAAGAGACATCTTCATACTTCATGGTTTAATTTTGTTTCATATTCCTGTCTTCTAATACTCACCCACACACCTGTCAATATATATATATCTATTTCAATTGAATGTCATGTGTTAAAGCCAGGTATTTTTCAAACCCATACATCCTCCACTAAGCTTTTTAAACTACTCTCTCCAGTCCCTGGATGTTTGCACTTAAAGACAATGGCAGAAAATTTGGAAGTTAATTCTTTCTTCACTTCTCCATGTGAATTGTAGGTGATGCTCCCAACTGGAATACAGATTTTGAGGGACTTAGTCTAAGATTTATTCTCCTTCCTAAGCTTCAACAAATGCTCAACAGAAGGATAAGTGTTGGTAAAAGTCCCATATACAGTGATGAGTTGATAATGAACAATATTGAGTAGACTTGCAGTTAATCAAAATAAATCATTAAATCAATTAACTCATTTTTTTGGCATATGTGTCATTTATTGTTGTTGTTAGGTGCCATTGAGTTGGTACAGACCCATAGCGACCTTATGCACAGCAGAACAAAACATTGCCCGATCCTGGGCCAACCTCACTATTGTTGCCATGCTTAAGTCCATCGATGCTGCCACTTGGTCAATCCATCTCATTGGGTGGGGGTCTTCCTCTCTTTCTCTGACCCCTCCACCTTACCAAACAGGATATCCTTCTCCAGTGACTGGTCCCTCCTGACAATATGTCCAAAGTGTGAGAGACTGAGTTTGGCCATCTTGGCCTCTAAAGACCACTCTGGCTGCACTTCTTTCAAAACGGATCATATGTGTCATAGGTACGTTAAAGTAGAGCCAGTTAACCAAAGGATACTCTGTTAGGGAGAGGCCCCTGAAGGGTTGTGGACTTCCATAGCTACAAAGTAGCTTCGTCAAAACTTGATATTGTTACTCTTTCCAATTTTAGCTCTTCTGGTAAGTGCTCAGTGGTATCACAGTGTGGTTTTAATTTACATTTCGTAATGACTAATGATGTTGAGCAACTTTTCACATCTTCATTGGCCACTTTTGTATTTTCTTTTATCAAGTGTTCTCTTAGCTCTCTTGGCCATTTTTAAACTGAGTTGTTTGTCTTCTTATTGATTATAATAACAAGAAGACAAAAAGTATGTACATACAAAGGAATTTCAAAAATTCATAGAAAAATGGAATAACAATATAATGGAATTTTCTCACAAACTTTCTGAAACCCCCTCTTATACACATGCACTCGATAAAACTCTGCCACTGGGTCGATTCTGACTTACAGTGACCCTATAATACAGAGTAGGGAGTTCTGTAGGGTTTCCAAGATTGTAATCTTCATGGAAACAGAGCAGAGCAGCTGGTAGGTTTGAACAACCTACCTTTTAGCTAGCAGCTGAATGCTTAACCACTGTGACACCAGGGTTCCTTTTTATTCAGATATATACAAATATTTTCTCCCAATCTGAGACTTGCTTTTTAATTTTTATGGTATGCTTCAAAAAACAAAAATTTTAAATTCTGATGAAATCTAATTCAGCAACTTGGTGTTTTCTTTTTTTATATATAATACATGTCCTAAGAAAGCTTCACAAACTCCAACATGGCAAAGATTTTCTTCTAGGCTTTCTTTTAGAAGTTTTATAATTTTACTTTTGGTTTTACTGTTACAGAGTTGGAAGTAATTTTTGCATGTGACGTGAGATAAGAGTTGAAGTTCACTTTTTTCCCACACCCAATTTTGTTGAAAAGATTTTCTTCACCCCACACTATTGAATTGCATTGGCCTCTTTGTTAAAAATCAACTATATAAAATTATATAGAAATCTTAATGTATGGATCTTTCTGCACTCTCCAATACCACACTATGACAACCCAACTTTAAAACTTATATGAAAAAGCAGGTAAGTAGAAGAGACTAGAAAAACTAGAAGAAACTAGAAAACCTCAGAGAAAAAAAGAGAAGATTTAAAAAGTAAAGTAAGATAATGGCACTGTAGGATCCGTACTGGGCTGCTAATCAGTGCTTCAAACCTACCAACTGCTCCTTGGAAACCCTATACAGGGTTGCGATGAGTCGGAACTGCTTGACAGCACTTTACAACAACAACATAGTAACTAAGACAGTATAATATGGAGGCAAAAAAGTACATAGAAACATAATATAGTCCAGGAAATTCTACTGCAATTCACTGGGCAAAGGTTGGTCTTTTCAATGAATAAAGGTGTTGTAAAGTAAGACACCGTATCCTGACCTCATACTGTTGTTGTTGTTGTTGTTAGCTGTCATTAAGACGGTCCCTGACTCATGGGAAACCCAGACATAAAGAACAAAATGCTGCTCAGTCCTGTGTTATTCCCATGATTCGATTCATTGCAGTTCAGACTGTTGTGATCCATACATAGGGTTTTCAATGACAGATTTTCAGAAGTCAATCACCAGACTTTTCTTCCTAGTTGGTATTAGTCTGGAAGCTCTGCTGACACCCGTTCAGCATACAAGTCTCCACTCACAAATGAGTGGCTGTGCTTGAGGGGCACTGGCTGGAAATGGAACCTGGAAATCCTCCTTGAAATGCTAGAATTTTACCACTACACCACCACTGGCCCTACCTCACACCATACACACAACAATTCAAATGGATCATAAAACTCATCATAAATAGTCAAAGTAATAAAGCTCTTAGACTAAAATATAAGACTATCTTCATCCCTTGGATCAGCAACAATTTGTTGAACAGATGCAGAAAGCATTATCCATAAAAGAAAACTTAGTAAATTTCATTTGAATTAATAACTTGCATTTCATCTGAAGAGTCCTGGTGTGACGCTGTAGGATAAGCAATGGACTGGTAACCAACAAGTTCATGGTTCAGACCCACCAGCCACTAGAGTTTCTATGAGTTGGAACTCAATAACACTTAACAACAACAACAACAATTTCATCTGAATTTGAAATATGGTGCTGGAGGAAAATACTGAAAAGTACCACAGACTGCCAGAAGAACAAATAAATCTATCTTGGAATAAGTACAAGCAGACTGTTCCTTTGAAGCAAGGATAGTTAGACTTTGTCTCTCATACTTTGGATATGTGATCAGAAGGGATCAGTTCCTGGAGAAGAACATGATGATTCATCAAGAGGTGTGTCAGAAAACAAGAGGAAGACCCCCAACAAGATGGACTGACCTAGTGGCAGCAGCAATGGGATCTAACATAATAATTTTAAGAATGGCACAGGACAGGACAATGTTTCATTCTGTTGTGCATAGGGTAGCTATGAGTCGGAACCAACTCTATAGCATCTAACAACAGCAACAAATTCAGAAGATGAAAAGGCAAACCACAGCCTCAATAAAACTATTACCAATAAATTCATCTAACAAAAGACACATTTCCAGAGTTCCCAGAAGTTGATAAGAAAAAGTTAACAACCTAATGAAGACAAGGGGATAGGAGACTGGAGTAGGCACTTCTTCAAAGAGAATTCAAATGACCCGCAAGCAGGTGAAATGCGACTCAATGTCATTACCATTCAGGGAAATGCAAGTGAGACTCCACTACACACCCACCAGAATGGTTACCATTTAAAAGCCTGGCATCACCAAGTGTGTGCAAAGGTATGGAGGAAAAAGATCTTTCATCCACTGCTATGGAGAGGGCACATTAGTACAAGTGCTTTGTACAATTGCAGTTTCTGATCAATGACGCACTCTGATCCAGCAATTAACTCCTATATATATACTTTATGAAATGCATACATAGGGCACAAAAACACATGCATTGACTAGTTGCAATTGTCACAACCATCAAGAGGGAAAAGCATGAGCGGAATGTGGGACCTTATCCAGAGAAGCAATGATACCAGAGATGGAGGCAGAGATGAGGACATGGAGAGAGGGAGCAGCTGAGGACTCTAGACTCATGGAAAGAGAAAGGTTGTGTGCTGGCAGTCAGGTGGCAGGCTTGCAGAATGTACCTTTGGGTTGTTTAAATGATTATATATTACTGATGGGTTTTGTGTATATCAAAAAACAAATAAACAAACAAAAAACACCAGAGGGAATAGAAGCAAATACTGGTGAATGATAATACTTGGAGGGGATTGTAATCATTGCAATGATATGAAATACTATAGGATGAGTGCAAAACTGGTTCTCCCATGTAAACTATCACTCAATTTCAATTCACAATAAAAGCTTAAAAAAAAAAATGTACAAGAATGCTCACAGCAGCATTATTCATAGCAACAAAAAACCACCCAAATGTACATTAACAGAGAAGTGACCACATTGTGCGTTATTTATCTAATGGTGCACTTACTTACACAGCAATGACAGTGATACAACAGCATGGATAAGTTTCACAAATATGATTTTGGGCAAAAGACATCAGACATGAAAAGGACATATTATACGTATCTAGTTACGTAAGTTTCAAAAATAGGCAAAATCTCTGTACATGTGAGCACGGTGGTTACCTTTGTGGAGGTGGGAGGAAATAGTTAGGAGGAGGTGGGAGTACATCTGAGATACTGGTGAAGCTGTTGAGCAGGACTTCTCAACCTCATCACCACTGATCATTTTGACCAGATCATTCTCTGTTGTGAGGGCTGCCCTGTGCATTCTTGGATGTTGAGTAGCATCCCTGACCTCTCAGCTGGACGCCTGTAATACCCCCATCCCCATTGTGACAACCCAAAACATCTCCAGACAATTTCCAGATGCCCATAAGAGGCAAACATCGCCCCTGGTGGAGGAGCAGTGCTCAATAACTGGTCTTGGGAGTATTTAGTGTGTGACCTCACTCTATGAACATTCATGAAGTTGTATATGTATCTGCATCAACTTTTCAGAATGCATAGTAATCTTCAAAAAAGCTAATACTTTCAAATAGAAAAAGAAGTTAATGGATAACTGAAAGAACGAAAATGTCTGAAGGCTAACAGGGATGATAGCTCTTCCTGGGTGGTAAAGGTTTAACATGCTCTGCTGCTATCAGAAAAGCAGAAGGTTCAAGTTCATCTAGAGGCACCTGGAAAGAAAGGCCTAGTTTGATTTTTCTACTACTGAAAAATCAACCTTTGAGAACACTGCGGGGGCAGGGCTCTACTTTGACACACATGTATCTGAGTAACTGGTTCTTTTGTTGTTGTTGTTGTTGTTGCTTTTGTTTTAACATCTTGCATGTAGATAAGGAGATTCAGCTAGAGGGTCACTCAAAGTCAGGTGGCCAGAATGACTCAGCAGAGAATTTTCACTCCTTCTCCCATTATTCTCATGAAGACTGGCCCCCAAATGCCACTCAAATAGTATCAATACTGACCCCAGGCAGGGCCTCAAATGGACCCTCTGAACCAGAACCCCATTATGGAAAGACTTAGAGTTGGTAGACATAGTACTCCATCACTCTGCAAAGAAAATTCTGAAAACCATTATCTACTGCAAACAGGATATTAGCTTTTGTCAGAAAGATCAAAAAAAAAAAAAAAGACTTGAGGTTTTCTCTTAACAGCTTCAGCCTCTCCCCAGTCTCACTCTCTTCTTTATCTACAGATTTCGGGCTGCAAGGCAAACCTCTCCAACTGCTGGCAGGAAGAGATGGCAGCGGGGGAGACGCAGCTCTATGCCAAAGTTTCCAACAAGCTCAAGGGTCGAAGCACCTCCTCGCTCCTGGAACCTCTCTTGGCGATGGGCTTCCCAGCCCATACCGCGTAAGTACTGCCGCTGGCAGGGACATCTGGGCTGGATTCCATGTCCAGGAACCAGACCCTCCCTGGAACCAGACCTTCTGCACCCCAGCCACAGCATTGCAGGCAGCTCACAGCTCTCACTTCCTGTCGCAGGGGTACACTTTGCAGTGAGAAATATTGTCTCAAAACAAGGCCTTTCCAGCTTTTCATAAAGGAGATGATCTTTACCTTTTAAATACAAATTCTGTTGGCTAGTTGATTGCGTATACCCTAAAATTTGGGGAAATAAGACATTTGTTGTTACTGTGGCTGCCCCGCGATTCTCAGAATTTGGAAGACTTGAGGCCTGTTTGCAATCTTCAGTGTCTCTGAAGGTGGCATACGCAAGGGACTTCAGACTCATTTAAAAGACTCCAACGTCCTTGAGTCTCTGAGGTGAGGGTCTGCTAGAATAGCTGGCAGTGAGCCCATGTTCTAAATTGCACACAGGGAGAATCATCTGACTTTGAGGGAAATTTTCTTGAATGTGCGATAATGAAATGAAATAGTGAAGAAATTATAGGACAATGTTAGTGGGGTTCAGTGTGTCCAAGCGAAGGGTCTGCACAAATAAACTTAGAACTATAGGAGTTGCTCCCTTCAGAAAGGGAAAAGATCCTCTAAAACCAGTAAGTAGTGGTCCTCATACTGATTCCGGCTTTCATATTAAACTGATTTCTCAGATCTTCTTTTTATGTGCTTATTTACGTGGGGAAATATATCAGAAATATACTTTAGGTAACCTACAATTTAGAAATCAGCAAACTTTCCTTAAACCTTATAACAATTCCTGGTCAAATTGGATGAGATAACTTTGAAGCTAAGACTCCTTTCTTCTCGCTCATAAAATCCGGACATTGTGGCATCGTTGTCGTAGCTGTTAGCTACATCCAGGGTGACTTATAGATAACATAGTTAAATATTGCCTGACCTTGTGCCATTATCGTCATTATAATATGGCATAAAATGACATATGGCATCATTATAAACCAAGAGTTTGTTAAATGGGGAAAGGAACTGTGCAAATGTAGGCTACCCGCTGTGAGCTGGACACTATCCTGGATACCCTTCACCAGCTCATGTTGCAGATGTGAAAACTGAGGATCAGAGAGGACTACTACTAAGAGCAGGGCTTAAACCCAACTCTCATTTCCTCTTAACCCTACCTCTTTCTACCAGTTGCTTTGGTTCTATCACATGGACTCATACTCAAAACACCTTCTAATCTAAACGTTAAACATATATTAAAGGTTGTTGATGTTTTTAGTGTTGTCCAGTCAGTTCCAACTGATAGCGACCCTGGTTAGGGTTTCAGAGGAGAGGCTGGTGGGTTTGAACCATTGACCTTGAAATCAACTGTCCAGTGTGGTTATCTATTGCTGTTAAGTGCTGTCGAGTTGGTTCTGACCTATAGTGACCTTGTATAGGGTTTCCAAGGAGCAGCTGGTGAGTTTGAACCATCGTCCTTATGGTTCAAACCAACTTTGCAGTCCAGTGCACCCGCAGCACCATACCCTTCCAAAAAGTGGGGGACTCATCTTCCAGCACTATACTGGACAACATTGTGTTGTGATCCCTAATGTTGTCATTGGCTAATTTTCAATATTTGATTGCCAGGCCTTTCTTTCTAGTCTTAGTCTGGATGCTCTGCTAAAACCTATCCACCATAGATGACCCTGTTGGTATTTAAAATACTGGTAACAAAGCATCCACCATCACAGCAGCATGCAAGGCATCTTAGTGCAACACACTGGCAGATGGTGGCTGAGTAAATATTCTTGACTATTTTTAACCCTGTTCAATTTGGTCTAGTTTAACTGGAATGGGTCACAATGATGAATTAGACACAGCCTGGCCTCAGGGAGCTCATGGAAGTTAATGTGATGAGAACTATCATGAACATGTATATGGTGGGAATCAAAGTTTGTTGCTGCTGTTAGTCATCATAAGGTGATTCCAACTCTGGTGATCTCATGTGTATAAAGTAGAACTGACCCATAGGGTTTCCAAGTCTGTGACCTTTCAGAAGCATATTGCTAGGTCTGCTTTCTAAGGAGCCTCGGGATAGGTTCCGGCCAGCCTTTTGGTTAGTAGTGGAGTGATGAATTGTTGGCACCACCCAGGGACTCCAGAGGAGACAGAAACCAAGGACACCACCTCTGCCTGTGTGGTTTAGGGAAGACTTCCAGAGGAGATGATGTTTGAGCTGAACCTTAGGGTATCAGTACAGCTTTTCTGAGGGAGCATTGGAATTCTTATAATTGTTGGTATTAGTTGCCATCCAGAGGCTGTGGCTCATAGCAATCTTCTGTGTTACAGAAAGAAATGCTGCCTGGTCCCAAGACATTTTCATGGTTTTGGTCTAATTGAGCACACTGTTGTAGCCATTGTGTCAATCCATCTCATTGAGGGTGCACATCATTTTTGCTGATTCTTTACTGTGGTGATTCACTTGTGGTTATGATGCTGATGAAGATCAAAGACCACAGCCTTCAGTATGGATTGTACCTCCCTCAATGTAAAGAACAAAACTCCTCACTACTACACCAACAAACAATATAATGATAAATGGAGAAAAGATTGAAATTGTCAAAGACTTCATTTTGCTTGGATCCACTATCAACACTCACGGAAGCAGCAGTCAAGAAATCAAATGACGTATGGCATTGGGCAAATCTGCCACACAAGACCTCTTTAAAGTGTTCAAGAACAAAGATGTCAGTTTGAGGACTAAGGTGCACCTGAACCAATCCATGATATTTTCAATAACCTCATGTGCATGTGAAAGTTGAACAATGGATAAGGAAGACAGTAAAAGAACTAGTGCATTTGAATTATGGTTGGAGAAGTGTTGGAGAAGAATGTTAAAAGTACCAGGGACTGCCATAAGAACAAACATGTTTGTGTTGGAAGAACAGCCAGAGTGTTCCTTAGAAGCCAGGATGGCGAAACTTCGGTTCTCATACTTCAGACATGAGATCAGAAGGAACCAGTCCCTAGAAAAGGGAATCGTGTTTGGTAAAGTGTAGGGTCAATGAAAAGAGGATGACCCCCATCAAGATGGCGTGGCACAGTGACAATAGCAGTGGGTTCAAGCGTAATAAGAATTAGAATTATGAAGATGACTCAGGGCAGAGCAGTGTTTCATTGTTTGGCATAGGATCGCTAGGAGTTGGAACTGACTCAATGCTACCTAACACCAACAACAACATGATACTGGAAGAGGCCTGGTGTGGCACTGTAGGATAAGCACTGGACTGCTAACTGCAAGGTCAGCAGTTCAAACCCACCAGCCACTCCTTGGAAACCCTACACAGGGTTGCTATGAGTTGGAACCAATTCAACAGCAGCTAACAATGGCAATGATCCTGGAAGCTGTGCCAATGGTATTTCAAGTACCAGCAACATCATTCATGATGGATATGTTTTAGCAGAGCTTCCAAACTAAGACAGACTAGAAAGAAGACTTGAAGATCTGCTTCCAAAATTCAGTCAATAAAAACCTTAAAGTTCATGATAGACCACACTCCTTTTGACAGGAAACACATTTGCAAAGGCCAGGTATGTGCCCCAGCATGGCAAACTCCAGGACCCATGTTGTTTGGGAGCAAGCAGTGTGGGGAAGAGTGAGAGAAATGGGACTGCAGGAGCAGACAGATGCCAGGTCACCAGGCCCCTGGATGCCATGCAAAGGAGCAAAGATAGAGAGTCAAGGAAGGAAAATGAGTGAGGATATGCATAGGTTTGCATTTTCAAGAGAGCATGGTGTTGGCCCATGGCAGGTGGTCATGCATGCTCAAGCTGCAGGCATCTGGTGGTCCGGGCCTCATCAAAACATCTTGAGGTCTGATGTGTTGTAGTACCACACCTGCTTCTCTCACCCTTTTTCGAATATAGAAGACTTGGCTCTAAGTGGCCCTTGTGTTCTTTACTTCCTATAGGCTCAAAGCGCTGGCAGCTACTGGCAGAAAGACAGCAGAAGAGGCCTCAGATTGGTGAGTGGAACTGGATTTGCAGACTTGGGAGTGTTTGCTTGAACTGCCCTGAGTGTTGAGTCTCTGGTTCTCCAGGGTAAAAGCTGAGAAGTGCCCGGTGGTCTCTGGGTGGGACCGAGGGCCATTGTGAAAGGAAAAAAGAATAAATACCATGCCCTTCTTTAAAAGTTTGTTCTTAAGAACTTTGAACAAAGCTGCCTTCAGATAAAAATCTCATTGAATCCAAATTTTGAATGTCAAAGTAAAGTATATGTGGTTTGTTGCATAAATAGGGATGCATCACGTTTGCTGATATAACAGAGTTGTTGAAGTGCTATCAGTGTGTTTTAATGCATAGTGACCCTGTATAGGATTTCCGAGGTTGTAAGTGTCTGTAGTAACAGAAAGCCTCATCTTTCTTCCACAGAATGGCGGGTGGTCTCGCACTGCTGGTGTTGTAATTCACGGTCCAGTGCTTAGCCAATGGAGCCTCTGTGCTCTCTGATAGTAGTGAATCCTCTTAAGACATTTTTGCGCTTTAAGGCTATTTTGCTATGAGTCAAACCAAACTGGAGGCACTTCACACCAACAAGGCCATGATAGCAGGGGCGGGGTGAGGAATCTGTGTGGTTCCTACATCCTGAATCCACTGAGACATGTTCTGCAGGCCACTCACTGTCATGGGTCTTGATACAGAGCCAGCCGCATCCACTAGACTCAGACAAGAATGTGCTCCACCTCACTAGTCATCAAGGAAATGCAAATGAAGATGCCATTAAAAACATCAAAGATAGATGTAAGTGCAGCTGAGGGTGAGGGGAAGACTTCATTACTCTGCTACTCGGTTAGTTGTGCTGGGGAAGGCAACCAGGTTCCATTAACACTGGGGCTGTGCGTGGTTGACCATCTAGCACCTCCAGTTTTAAGTGCACTCCCTGGACGAACACAAAGAGCCTGAGAAGACATGTACAAAACTGTTGACTACAGTGCTGTCAAAATTTTTACAAAAGAAATCAAAAGTCTGCCACTCTGGGTATGTATAAATGAAATCTCAAAGATGCCTGTGATGGTATATCATCCAGCCCTCTAAAGGTCTACGCTGACCAACTTAACAGGATGCATGTGAATCAACCTGGAGAAAACTCAGACATGTATTGTTGCTGCCTGAAATGTACAAGTTGCAGAATGATTTTGAATAGTAGTTTATGATTTGTGTAAAAAGCACACACATGCCATCTACAGATTTGTTAAATTGCCGTCTGTAGTTTAGTCGAATTCAGTAAGAGTTACAAAGCAGCTTCACAATGGGTTGCCTCTGGAAAGGAGGAAGGAAACTAAAATGAAGGAGAAACAACTACTTTTGGTTTTTTGTTGCTGTTAAGGAGAATGTATTTATGCATGGTGTAATGCTGGCCTACAAAGTCGGCAGTTCACTCACCAGCCGCTCCCCGGAAACCCTTTACAGGGTCACTATGAGCCGGAACCTGGCGTGGCACTGTGGGTTAATTAATGCACCAGACTGCAAAGCCATTTGAACTGCAAGGCTGGCAGTTCAAGCTCACTAGCTGCTCCTCGGAAACGCTATACAGGGTCGCTAACACAGTCCCAGTGTTAATGGAGTCAGTTCCGACTTATAGTGAGCCACCATGTACAGGGTTTCTGAGGAGCAGCTGGTGGGTTTGAACTGCCAACTTTGTGGTTTGCAGTCCAGTGCTGATCCTACGGTGCCACACCAGGAGTCCTGGAGCAGATTGTTGTTGTTGTTGTTAAGTGCCATTGAGTGGATTCCTATCCATAGCAACCCTGTATAGGGTTTCCAAGGAGCAGCTGGTGAGCTTGAACTGCCGACCTTGCAGTTCAAACGGCTCTGCAGTCTGACGCATTAGCCCACAGCTCCAGGTAATTGGAGCAGATTAGAAGGTTCGAAAAATAGGTCCGTGGAGTTTTAGCCTTGTAAGTAGTAAACTGGGCTTACAAAAAATGTTTTTGCTGTTGCAGCTAACAACAGGAATATTTTTATGAAAAGAACAATAAATGTCTTCTAAAACACGGCACAGTGTGGTCTGTGCCCACCGCCCCCTCCCCGACAATAACGCCACTGGCTGTACACAGTATGTGTATTGCTGCTTCTTGAATTTTCACTTTTAGGCATTAAGTATTTCTCTGTCTTTCCTCATTTGACTGAAACACTCATGCGCCTTTCCCACACCCCATCCTCAGAGTACAGATTTTCTTCATGATTTTCGTGAATTCCATATTCGATATTAGCATTTCTGCAATCCTGCAAACACCATTCAGAGCTGAACCGTGTAGTACATTATAATAGTTTCTCTTTTTTAACTTAATCTTTGGGTTTCCCCAGCCTTGGTTTTTCATGTGCTTAGTTTTCTTTATACATATTGCCATTGAGTTGATTCCAACTCACGGCAATGCCATATGTAATAAAGAGTTTTCTTGGCTATAATCTTTGCGAAAGCAGGTCACTACTTTCTTCTGTAGTGTTTGCTGGATGGGTTAGAATCGCCAATCTTCAGTTTAGTAACCAAATGTGAATCATTTGGCCCACAACTGTTGCCATTTTCTCTCAAGATTTTCACATATATCAGGTTCTCTATTAATCTCATCTTCTTGGAGAAATGGTTCCTAGTGCCTTGTGGTCTCTTCCAGGTTGAACTATTTGTCCACTAGTTCCGGTGCTCGTATCCTGGGGACTCCTCCTGCCTGTCACATGTTGTTGTTGTTAAGTGCCGTCGAGTCAGTTCTGACCCATAGCGACCCTGTGTAGGGTTTCCGAGGAGCAGCTGGAAAGCTTGAACGGCCTACTTTGTGGTTCAAACCTACTCTGCAGTCCAGCGCCTTAACCCACAGTGCCACACCAGGGCTCCACCTCTCACATATGTGTGATTAGCTTTCCTGTATCCATGCCTTCCCCTTTTTTGATTATGAGCTCACTGTGGCAGAGCATATCATCAAGTAAATTTTTGAGGAAAAAATGCCTAAGAGGAAAATTATTTAAGACAGTACATGTCTGAAAATGGCTTTATTCTGCCACTCTCTTTGATTAATAGTTTAACTGAATATAAAATCCTAAATTGAAAATTATTTTCCCCGTTGTCTCTACCGTCAAGCGCTGCCGTTGAGAAACCTGAAGATATTTTGGTTCCTGACCTTTGTATACGATCTTTCTCATCTCTCTCTGGAAGCCCAAACAATATTCTTTTGGTCCCCAGTGATGTGAAATTGCACTAGTCTGTTTTCATACCATTGTGCTAGGTGCTTGGTGAGATCTTTCAATATGAAAATGCATGTCTTTCTTCTTGTCTTGGAAATTCTCTTAAGTTATTGTAGTGATTGCATTTCCCCTCTGTTTTCTAAGTGCTCTTGTTTTACAAATCTCATTATTTAAATACTGACTCTACTGAACTGATCCTCACATTTTCTTTTTCCTTTATACTTTCTATTTTTGTCTTTTCGTTCCTTTAATTTTGCCTCATAATATTTTTATGTTTCACTTCGGCTAACATGTTTGCAATTTCCAAAAGCCAGTTTTCAATTCTTGGAAGGTTTCTTTAACTTAAAAAAAAAAAAAAAAAAGACATATAGCAAGTTATTTTTCTTTATTTTGTTTTGATTTGCTTATGTATGTATATACAGTTAAAGTATAGCATCTCATCTTTCTGTGGACAGCGCCAATTTAAAATTCTCATCTCTTTACCTAGTCTGTTCCAAGTTCCTTCTCTCCCCCTAATTTTCAGTTTTGAGATTTACCTCATTTGCCTGATATTCTTCAGTTGTCCACTCAGATTTAATAGGGGAACAAGGTAGAATAAACAGTGATTGGAAGCTCTGAGAAACTGTGTGGGCTTGTGAACTCCAAGTTCCATTGCAAGGTTATCTGATTTGACCTTGTCACTGGGGACCTCCATAATTGGTGTCTTTAGCTTTTTCCTCTAGTAAAGACCAAAATCCTAGCAAAGATTCATCTAACCTCCTGCAAAGGAGGAGGGGGCTGCTCCAGGCACTCTGTGTTTTACCTTCTGTAAGGAGCTCTGGTAGTGTAGTGGTTATGAATCAGGCTGCAAACTACAAGGTCAGCAATTAGTCTGTTAAGTTTGAACATTTTAAGAATTTGAGTTCTGTTTCATGTTTTTCTCTCATTCTTTCTGGTTCATCTATTGTGACCCTGATCAGAATGGTTGATAGTGGTAGCTGGGTACGATCTAATTCTTTGGGTCTCAGTGTACATGAGGTAATGGCTCATGTAGGCCATTAGCCTTATAGGCTAGTTTCTTCTCTGAGATGTAGGTTTCCTTTTTTTTCTTTTTCTCCTAACAAACAGAGACCAATAGTCATGTCTGAGATACCTACTTGCAAGTTTCAAGACCCCAGATGCTACTATCTCACTAGGATGCAAAACATGAACTTTGCGGTGCCAATTGACTGAATTGTCCCATGATACTAACTATCTAAGCCTTCAAATCCAGAAAACTTTTCTCTCCAGATATTTGGTTATGTCTGAGAAGTCCTCTATGAATATATATGTGTGTGTTCACATGTCTATATCTACATACATATGTTGTTATTGTTGTTATGTGCC